GTTATAACCAACAAAGTTTATAGACAAAAGATAGATTTATTAACTTAGATAATACTCAAAAGGATAACACAGATAAAACAAATATATATAACTCAAGAAAAATATAATAATCCCAAATAAATATCACAGAAAGGGAACTTATTCTCAGCAAAAATAATATAAAAATACCAAAAATAGGACTTATTCCTAATACCAAGTTATAACAAAAATAAAAATGGGACCTATTCCCAAGACCAAAGTGTATAATAATAAGGTAATAGCAACCAAAATATGGGGACCAACTGTCCTCTTGTCTTGGGGAAAGAGGCAGGATTTATATATCTTTTTCTGGTATATTAATTTACTATAGAATATAGTAATTAATTAAGGAAAAGCACCTTTTATTAATGGAAAGACACTTTCTACTATAGGATGGGCACCTTTAGATAGTGGATGGGCACTTCTAGATAGTGGATAGGCACCTTAGAATGATTAAAATTAAAGATTGGGCACCTTTTACTATGGCAAGAGCACCTTTTAATATAGGATAGACACCTTCATCAGAAAAATTTAAAATTAGATTATTATCAATTAAAATCTAAGGATTTTAAACAATTCTTATTACCACTGTCGATTAAAATCGATTGGGTTTTTATCAATTATAATCGATATACATAGAAAGCCATTGATTAAAATCAACTTATATATATAGATTTATATCAATTATCATTATTATCGATTTGGATATAAATCGATTATCAGTCACTACTGTTGATTATAATTGCTTGAAACCAATTAATTATAATCGATTAATTGTTTGCAACTGATCATAATCAGGCTTCAAAATTTCCTGATGTTTTAATATAAAATGAGCACCTTTTAATATAAGATAGGCACCTTTTAATATAGCAAGAGCACTTTTGCTATTTTGGATTTGTTTGGCTTTATTTATTCTTAATGTTGTTGTTACATCATTCTGGGCTGTCCTGGGCCACCATTTGTGTTCAGATAACTTGGTCTGGGTTCTGTTTATATTAAACAAACTAATAAATTAAATAATTAAATAGCTACTACTTTAAATAAAATTCCGTGAAAACTATCCTAATAAAATTAATAATAAACTATCATTTGAGCGACTAAAATAAATAAAATATATTATAAACTATATAAATAAACTAATAATACTATAAAATATACAATAATAATATAAATAATATAATAAAATTTAAGAAAATATATAATAAATATATAATAAAAATTGTTAATAAAATTTGACTAATAAAAAAATTGACTAATAAAATATAATATAATCTAAATAAATTTGATTAATAAATTTGCTAATATAACACTACTCCCTTCTTGAAAAATTTTGCTCTGCAAAATTATAAAAGATTTATTGTAGTGCAAACGCAGTAATCATGACCTGTCAGCAGAGTTTATTAGTCCATTAGCGGATATTGAATCTATGACTGCTGGCAACAGTTGCACATCATTACCACTTTACTATATTTGGTAATATTGTAAAAATTTTTAATTGTTCTATTTTTAAACAATAATATTACTATATATAGTCTAGTGATTTTCAAGGGCTTGAGTTTATGTAAAATAAAGCAAAAAGAAAAAATTTTTTTTTTTTTACCTAATTTTTAAACTAAGAAGAAAGGTAAAAATAAATAATAATGATAATAATAAACTAATATCTATAATAGTAAAAAGATGCCATTACGATATCAAACTACTCAAGCTCGCAGAAGAAATAGTCAAAACACTCTTTATAGAGCAATTGATATGCTCCAAAGCAAGAATTGAAGGTAATTTAATAATAATAAGATAATAATAAAATAATATAAATAATGATAAATAATACTATATAATAATAATTATAATTTTTAGATTGGCTTATAAAAATACAAGATTAAGAAGTAGAGTTTCCGAGTTGAAAGAGTTGTTAGCAACAAAGGTCTTGCAGCTAGATGAAGCTTTGCAAGTAAAAGTTAGAGAGTTGACATTGAAGGTTAAGAATTGGCAATTGTATTTGGAAGAGAAGATTAGAAAGAACCAAGAGCATAATACCAATTATGCACTTTTGGTTCGAGAAAGAAGTATATTAAGGTTGCAAATAGCGAACTTAGAGGTGTTATTACACATCATCTCAAATTAAAAATTTTAATAAAATTTTTATAATTTTTCTATTATTTTGTTATATTGCTTCTTGGTTATTTTTCTATTATTGATACTGTGATAAATTTTGCTTTATAAAGTTGTTTGACTCCAACTTTATAATAAATATTATAAATTCTTTCGCTTGACTTCTATCTTTTGGTAGATTTATCTTTTCTAAGTCTTTTCATAAGTTTCTTTCTAATTTTATTAAGAAACTTTTTATCAACTTGATTCCTATTCCTCAGTTTACCTAAATAATAGTCAGCTTTAAGTTTTGCATTTGAGCATTTTTCGATTTCCGTATTGATTAATTTTAGTTATGATTTTGTTTAATACTTCAAAATTATTATTGCTTGTAAATGATGAACTAAAAACTTTATTATTTCTAGTCGAATAATTGAGATCTTTAAAAATTTTGTCAATAGTTGACTCTTCTTTATGACTTTTGTCATTAAAATTATTCAACAATTCAAAATTATTTACTGTATCTTCTCCTTGGTAATAGCTTCTATAAATAGATCTGTAATATTGCCTTGTAGTAATTCGGTCCAAAAGTTTTCTATTTTAAGTTGTTTATTTTAAAAATAATTGATATAAAGATAGGATGTAGTGTATTTTTATAAGTTTTAAAAGAGTACGAAATAGATTACTAATTGTTTGTAGCAGGAGTTTGTGTAATAATTATTTGTAGTACTGGAAGGCTGTATAAGTCTTGATCAAAATATAGCTTTAATCGATCACTATGTACTGGATCTTTGACCTTTTTATAATCTAATGTAGTTGCTTTAATATCAGCAATTACTTTTGCTTTCGGCCATTTGGTAAGATAGTCCATAGCAACAATTATATATCTGTTGCCTTGTTTAGTTATTGGTAGTGGTCCTTTAATATCAATTCCAATTCTAAAGAAAGGTCTTTTTACTTCTATAGGCCTTAAATCTTGTCTTCTAATTTTATGTCCTCTGCGTTAGCATGTTTGAATATAATTTTTAATATCTTCATACATGTTTGGCCAAAAATATCATTCTTTTATTTTATTATAAGTTGATCCAATACCAAGATATACTCCTTTTCATCATGTAGTAAATATAATATAGTATATTTTTGATGTTGTTTAATTACTCTAAGATGGTTGTTTTTATTTTGACGATATAGTTTTTCTTCTATTATTAAATAATTATTTGCTTCTTTTGTAAACAAAATTTTTCTGTATTAGAGATGTCCGGTAGATATTTGAGGTGAGATAAATAGTTATAAAGATTTGTATATTGTTGTTTATCCATAGTTAGTATTTAAGTATTCAGATAAGCATAAAAAGAAGTTAGCATTTTTGTTCTAGCTACCAGCATAATACTTAATATCATACTGATATTCTTGTAGGGTTAATCACCATCGTGTAATCCTTTTATTGTCATTAATTGTGGATAAATTTTTATTTTTTTTTTATAATCAAGGTCGGCCTCTTTGGCTTTTCACTTTTATTAGATTTGTAGAATCATGTGATGCCCTTATCAAGGGGCCCCAGATAAGTACATTCTGACGAGAATACATTCTAGCCATATCTGCACCTTTTGAGTGTCTAATTTAAGTAGTCTGCCTATTACTAGGTTCTATACTAGATGCTGTACCTGTAACCTACTATTATTTAGATTATCCAATTAAATCCTTTGATCTGAGTTTCTTATGCCAATCCGTCTAATCTTACTCGGAACATGCAATACATAAGTCAGTTCAAGTTCCAAGATCATTGCGAGCTACCTATAGGACTACTGGTATGGTTATCTGATTCATCCTCGAGTGCATTACCTGCTAGAGCAGTCCGGTACCCACTTATTACCATATTACCTAGTCTTTTTCGGATAAGTCTTGCCAGATAGGTTCTATACCTTTATAGGCAGGCTGTACCGCCAATTCTTTTCGCAGATAAGTTCACCAAATAGGTTCTAAACCTTTATGGGCAGGCCATACTGCCAAACTCCCAGCCCTTGCAAGGTTCATTCTGATCCCGATACCTACATCAACCTGGTCCTTATACCAATCTCTCCCAAACTACTAAACCAGTTAGTCCAGATGGATCATTGTACTTAGGCTTTAAGTGCCTTCCGGTTTTACTTTCCTTGGTTTCTAATTCTGTAACATAGGACCTTTTCCTCTGATGTGACTTTGGTGGCCAGGTTGGTAGACCCTTCTTGCCCCAGTGTTTTTGTCTGGTTCTTCGGTCTCTGGTTTCCAACTTTCTGCAGTATCGTCAAAGATCATCACTACTTTCTTACTTGGGTCTTGCCAAATGGGTTTTAATTATTCTGGTTCCTTAGATTTTGGATTGCCTAAGAGCTTTCATAATAAGATAGTAGTACCAAGATTACAGATGATATACCTAACTGATCGTCAAATAATTGTTATAGGTACACAGGTCTATTTTTCTAAAAATGTCTCTGGTAGGATTCGAACTCTAGACCTGCCACTTGGGGTGACAACTTAACCACTACTCTAAGTCGCCACACCCTTATTGTAGATGAATTTAATAACTATTTTAGTGCCTTGTGATCAGTAATTAAGATAAATCTCATTCCATATATATAGTATCGAAAATATTTAATAGCCTGAATTACTGCTAAACATTCTAATTTAATAGTACTATAATTCTTTTTTGCAGGAGTTAATGTTCTGCTAGCATAGGCTATTACATGTTCCTTTCCATCATTTACTTAGAATAATATAGCTCCAAGTTCTTGATAGGATGTATTGGTAAATATAATAAAAGGTTCATTATAATCTGAGTATTGTAATATTGGAGCAGTAATTAAACATTGTTTTAGGTAATTAAATATTTTGTTGTGTTTTTCTGTCCAAATAAATTATACATCCTTTTGTAATAATTTGTTTAAAGGCGCAGCCTTTTTAGCGAAGTTTTCTATAAATTGACAGTAATAGGATGCCAGTCCTATAAATACTCTTAATTGTGTAATAGTTTTTGGTGAAGGTAGTTTTTCAAGTTTTTCAACTTTTTGAGGATTAGGTTTTATTCTATTTATATTAACAATATGTTCAGAAAATTGCATTTCATTAGTACAAAAATGACATTTTTCAGGATTAATTCGCAGATTTGTATTTTTAATTAAAGCGAATACTGATTTTAAATGTTCAATATGTTTCTCAAATGTTTCTGAATATATATTTACATCATCAATATAGACCATGGCATACTTCCAAAGAGCTGGTTCTAATACAACATCCATTAATCTTTGGAAGGTTGAAGGTGCATTACAAAGTCTAAAGAGCATGATATTAAATTCATATAGGCTAAACTTTGTAATAAATGCAGTCTTTTCTTTATTTTCTTCTTTTACTTCGACTTGCCAATATCCTGAAGTTAAATCAAGTGAAATAAACCACTTTGCTTTTTCTAAATTATCTAACATCTCATCGATGTAAGGTAGAAGATAAGTGTCCTTCTTTGTTATAGAATTTAGTTTTCTATAATCTACACAGAATCTGAGTTTTTTATTTTTCTTTTTAATAAGAACTATTGGAGAACTCCAAGGGCTCCTCGATTTTTGAATTATTCCTTCTTTTTCCATTTTGGCAATTTCTTCTTTTATGTGGTCTTGCTCTATAAGAGATGCTCGATATGCTCATTGTTTAATAGAGTATTTATTTGTTGTATATATACTGTGATAAACTATATTAGTTTGTTTCAACTCAAAGAACTGAGTAGCAAATATATCAGAATTTTCTTTTAGAAAATTTGATATAATATTTTGTTATTCTTGGTCTAGATTTGCTTCTATTAGTATAGTTTTATCTTTGGTTATATTGATTTTATTAGATGATAGTAGTTTATTTTTAGCTTCGATTTCTGATTTAATCATTTTGAATAGGTCATCAACTTCTTTTGTTCTTTTATCTTCACTATTTTCAATCCTGATATTGGGCATTATATTATTATTAACTTGGGAAAAGTATTTGTTTGTTTTGATTTTAGTAGTGAAGTATCGATCATTGTTTAGGTCTTCTTCACCTTTTTCTAGTTCCAATTTATATTCTTTATCAATTAATTGTTTATATTTAATTGGATATAACTGAGTAGATTTTTCTATTCATTCCCAACATATGATAGGGACATATTCGATATTGTCACTTTCATCTATCAATATTAGACCTGTTCTATAATTAATGACTGTTTTTACTAGATCCAAGTATTCATTACCTAAAACCACATTGTATTCTTGTGATTCAGTAACAATCATATCAATACTGATTTCATTGACTCCAATTTTGACAAGGACATCTTTGACTTTTTCTAATGGAATTGTTCTATTTCCAGTAATGTCAACAACTCGAACATTACTTGGTCTATCTATAGGTTTACCTATTCTGTCCAGAAATTGTTTTGCAATTACACATCCTTTTGATCTAGTATCAATAAGGACATTGACTTTATGACCAAAGATATGAGCAGTAGAGAATAGAGCATCTTGTATAGCTTCTTCTTTTAATTTTTCTTGTTCTAAGCTATGATTTAGTTTTCTAATTTCAATTATTTCATTATTATTATCATCCTCCAACCAGATATTGTTGATATCATTTTCTTCGTTGAGATTATTAGTTCCAGTATTTGTATTGTTTTCATTATTTATAATATTTTCATTTTCATTGGTAAGACTATTATAATAATTCATGATTTCTATTTCTAAATTTTGTAATTGTTCTATTGGTGAGGGTTTTGAATTACTGATATGCTCACTTTCTAGAGATGTCTTTTCTAGTTTAAAAAGTTTATTCTTTGATTGGCAAAATTATTATCATTATTATTCTGAGTATTGATATAATTTTCATAATAATTTAAGAAATTTTGCCTTTGGTCATTAGTGTTGTTACCATGCTATTAGTTATTGTTATTATAGTTGTTTGAAGGATTTATCTGTTGATTGTTGTTAGGTTGTCTGAAATTATTATTATTATTGTAGTTTGGAAGTCTTTTGTTGTTTTGGTTTTGATAATTATTGTTAAAATTTCTATTTGGTTGGTAATTATTATTGTTGTTATTTCTTCAGTTTTGGTTTATTTGACAATTTCTTGGCATATGACCAATTCTATTATAATTATTACAAATAGGGGCTCGGTATTTATATGCAAAATGTCCAGGACGTTGACAACGGTTACAAGCATTGTTGTTATTATTATTATTATTTCTAGGTCTATTATTGTTTTGTTGCCAATTATTGTTGTTATTTTGTCAATTATTTCTATTGTTTCAGTTGTTATTTTGATTATTTTGATGGTTATTATTATTATTAGTAGATTGCTGAGATACATTTGCATTCATTGGCTTCAGTTGTTTAACTGTTTCAGTCAAAAACTCCTTGGTTTGGGCAGCTATTAAAGCTTTGATATCATTTTTAGCAGTAGAAGTAGTATAATTAAAGAATGATAGTTGATATGATGCAGGTAGCAATGAATAAGCTGAGAGAGTATTGCCTTTAGAGTAAGCAACTTCAACAGCTTTAGCCTTTTCAGCTTCAAATAGATCATCTGGCATTGCAGACTCAACTGGAATATAGAATTCAAAACGTAAACTATCTATAAATTGTTTTCTTTTTTATCTTTATTAGGATAATTAGCATTTGGATCTACCTTTCGCTATAGTTTTTCCAAAGCAGAAAAGTAAGACTCAACAGTTTCACCAGGTTTTTGTTTTCTATTTCTTAGGGTGTAAAACCATTGGGTAACTCGATGAGAACTTCTGAACTGTTTTTCAAACTGGTATTTAAATGAATGATTCATATTATATACAGTAGTATAATCTTTCTAGCTAGTAAAAACTGGTTTAAAATGATTGAACCAAGTAAGAGCTGTTCTTTTTAAATAATTAGCTACTATTCTTAGTTTTCTTTCATCATTTATATTATTTGCATTAGCTGCATTATTAAAGGCTTCAAACCAAGCAATAGGATCTTTTTTACCTTCTTTAAAGACAAGTAAATCTACAAGTTTTGCTTCTTTAGAGTTACCATTATTATTAAGTACTTGACCTAACCTAGTAATTAGTTGTTATATTAATTTAACTAAAGAGGGTTCTCTATTATTTTTTGTTTGTTCAGGCTCTCTTCGTATTACTAATGGTATGTTTCGAGTGTCTTGTTGTAAATTATCTTCATTTATGATTATATTATCTATATGATCAATTTTTCTACTCTTTCATTATTTTGAGATCCATCATATTGACTGTTTCCTGTTTGGTTCATTGTTGTAGATTCAGATTCAGATTCAGAACTATTATCATTTTGATTATCTTCAAAATTAGTACAAAGACAAGAAAATCTTTCTTCAATTCCTAATTATAAATTACTTTAGTAACTATTTGGTCGAACTCTTTACTTAGAGTATTATTATAATATTGAATAGAGGTTATTAATTTTTCAAAATTTTCTGTTATTCACTCTTTTTTAATTTTACTTATATGAGCTTGATTAAAGTAATATAGTGTTCTGTTATTATAAGCTGATATATTATAATGGTTTAAAAACCATGCTCAGAAGCAAAGAAATGACGGAGGAGTAATACTAGTTGAAATAAGATAACAAATTAAACAACTAAGATCAGGTTTAGAGTCTAATTTTCTTCTGATTAAGTATCTATTGGTTTGGTAAATAAATGTGTGATCATAAATTTGCTGTTTATATGTTTCAATATTTATTCACACTTTGTTTAAAGCCAGACAGAAAAGCCTTTGTTTTGTCGAAATTTGACTAGATCGTTTAATCTGTCCTTAGTTGAAGTTTGATTATTTAATTCTTTCTCATATAGTTTTAAATTATTTAGATCGTGCTTTGAATAGTAAATATAAGAGAAAGGGTTTGGTTAGAGTTGAGGTGGTAAGTTGTAGATAGTTTCTATAGAATTATCAGGATTTAGAAACTTCAAATAGTAGGTAGTAGGAGGAGCAGGCTCAGCAAAGTTAGGTTCAATCTGATATCTTTCATCTCAGAGTTGTTTTGGTTTAGGATTATATCTGTTAGTCCAAGTAAAACCACAGTGCTTGGTATAAAGATATAAAATTTTTGTTTCCTCAGTAGTTAAAGAAGAACCAGTTTGTAATAATTGAATAATAGTTCTGACTTTGTTATAGATTTCCTCTGCTTTTTGGTCAGTTGAGTATGTGTTATTGCAATATTCGAATAGGAAATTGATTTCACAATATTTATAAAGAGCTTTAAGAAAGTTTTTAGGCATTGACTAAACTAAGATAGAAGATAATAGGAAGGGTACTAGGACACTGTCAACCTAGTAAGGATTAAATTTAATAACTGATTTTTAAAAGATTTAAAAATTAACAGGTGGTTAATAAAATTCAATTCAATAGCCTCCTAAAGTACTATAAGATTTAGCAATAGGTCAATTTTTGGAATAGCACCTATTGTTCTTTGTATGCAGCCAGGTATAATACAAAAAATGTTTGCCCTTTAAAAGGAATATTAGCCACTAAAACTTAAAGATATCCTAAGATATAATCAGAGAAAATAGTACTAATATTCAGACTATCAACGACTATATGTGGTCTTGAATTCCAAATAATATATATAAAATATATTATTTTACAAGCAAAAGAATAACTAATTTATAAAAATTTTTAAATAATAGATAAACTAAAAGAAAATAACAGAAATTTGTTCAATATGTAAGAAGTAAAAAAAAATTTTAAGAGAAGTTGCTTTTAGAAATCACAATAACACAAAAAAATTCTGGTCCTGTCATTATTGCCAAAACTGTAATGTAATAAGTTAGACCTTTGGTTAACAAGTTACTTTACTAGACTAAGTGTATGAGTAGTTAAGAAATGTGTTTATATAATTTATAGAGAAAAACAGTTTATAAATAAAATAAAATATTGTCGTCTTACATTCAACTCTCCCCACTGATCCTCTGTATACAAAAATACAAAAACAAAACAACAACAAAAACTGACAGAAACACACAAACGGCTATAGAAAACAAAACTTGCAGCTCTAAGGAAAAAGCAAGAAGACTAAAAATAATACTCAGTCTCTTAAGAGACTTGAGGAAAAAAGCAGA